TTACAACACACACAGGGGCCATGGGGAACAAAAGTAGCCCCCCTCCAGAAGGAAGGACAGTGTCAGCACCAATTCAGAGATGATTTGAGGATCTACAGACGAGTGATACACAAATAAGATACATTTTTGTTCATAGTTAGGGTATTTGAATGTATTTTTATGATTTAACGCCTGAGTTTAGTGTCACTTTATTATGCAAAGTCATTTTTTCTTATTTGCAGTTTTTATTTAAATTGTATCTGATGGTCCTGCCATAAAGTTCCTTGTTCAAACACTTCCAGTTATGGGGTGACGACGTTTTGTCCCGGTCTCTTAATTGTGCTCTTGCTTTGTCACCTTGTCACATGATCTCCAAATGGAAACTACGAGCAGCCATACCAATGCACATTGCACAGGCATGATCCGCTGATGCCACCATAAGCAAAACCCGCCTGACAGGCGTTGGCAGCAAAGAGGCTGCAGGAGATCATTAGCACAGAGATGTAGCAAAAGAAGAAAGAAAGGTAAAAATACAATATTCCAGCAGGGGAGATTCCCCATCAATACTGTTTAGCACTCATTATGGGAAAAAAGCCAAGTGTATGGCAAGCGTACTTTTATTATTGCAGTTACTTCCTTCATGTGCACTTTGCACTCATTTCCACCACCACCCTGTACCAGCAATCTGAGGTGCCCGAGCATTACAATTACAGCAATCTCCGGCAGCGCTATGCTTCTCTTATGTCAAGGTGATTTACTGTGCTGTCAAGCAGGAAACATGCAACATGTGACCTGCCACACCGTGAGCAGAAGGCAAACAATTATCTGAAGTATTTACAGCTCTCGGAGTCAAGTGAGCAGTTCGCACTATACAGATCTAACATGCTTTTACACAGATTTTTATGGTGCAGGCCCCATTGCTGCCATAGCAAGGACTTCCCAATTTACATGCTAATCACACAGGTGTTTGGCTCACATTTTGAGAAGGGAGCTAGTCAAGCAGACTGCTCTGCCTTGAGCTGGTGCCTAAGCTGAGCTGGTGCGCATTCGTGATGTATTGAATTCCTGTGCACTTCCGCTGTGCCTTTAGCCTTAAAGCTGTATATATGCCTTGTGAGATCATCTAAGGCACTGCTGCCTTTGAAAGCTAATCTCACCCGATTTGGAGGTCTCTACTGCACTGCTCACTGTTCTCTTTGCTGGGGAGGAAGCTGTACCTGTAGCTGCAGGGAGACCACAGAAAATTGTAAGTTAGAGACATTCCCAAAACCACTCCTTGCTTTGCCTCCCTCAGTGTAATAGTGTTCTGCATTGCCACCTCAAGAGTTGCCAACAGGGAAGTGTAACCATGCCTTCACAGTCAACTGGCCTTTAATGTACCAAATACAAAAGAATAGCCCATTAAAAGATACAATAACAAAACCAGCTTTTGATGCAATATTCCATTTCAATGTTAGATGTCCATCATTCAACACACTTCCTCTAAACCCAGGTGGTTCTGGACTTCCCTTGTATAAGGTTCCAGCAATCAAAGCAAATAAGCACGCAAAAAACCCAAACCAAGGTTTTTAGGACAATGACAGGGTGAATTATATTTTACAAAGTCATTCCTCCCCTAGCCAACTCTGCAATAATGTGTATTATATAACAAACATGTTTGAAAAGTACACAGTGGCTCAGTGGTTAGCTTGCTGCACTGTGGACCCTGGTTCGAACCCAGGTTTGACCAGGACACTGTTTGCATGGGATTTGTTCTCCCTGTACTTGCATGGGTTTCCTCCGGGTACTCCAGTTACCTCCCACACTCCAAGAACATGCAGAGAGGTTTATTGGTTCCTGGCTAAATTGGCCCTGTATGTGTATGTATGCCTGTGACATAGGGACCTTAGATTGTTAGCTCCATAGTATGTGAAGCTCTGTGTAAATTGATGGTGCTATATAAATACCTGTAATAAATATTCAATAATAATAATAAAAGTGTCTGTTTTATTGATAAACAGAATCTTTCTCCATCATCAAATCATCAGTGTTTGAAGAATGAGGGAGAAATCTGATTGGCTATTAGAGGGCAACCTAGACATTTAAAGAATTATTAAACCCTCGCATTTCTTTGCATATGTCTACGGCTAGCAAATAGTAGATATATGCAAAAACCTTACAAAAAAAACAAAAAACTTTTCAAACAGGTTTAAACTTACCTGTGTCTTCGCCACGCGCTCCCGTCCGAACATCTGAAGAGTCTCAGGCGGCGGCAGAGGATCTTGGGGCGGGCGCATGCGCAGTTCAGATGTTCGGCCGGGAGACGAGGAAAGACACAAGGTAAGTCTATGGAGCAGTGTGCACCCGCACAGACTCAGTGGTACATGAGAGAAGAGGAGGACAGAGGAGTCAGCGCTGGATTGGAGACCCGCACCAGCGCTGGAGGGACTGCTGAAAAACAACAGTAAAGAAGAAGAAGATCGGATTAAGACGCATTATTTAAGGTAAGTCCCTACACTAACATTGGGGGGAGGGGGAAAAATGTCACTTTAACCTTTTTTTTTGTCAGCTCTCTTACATACAAGTCCGCTTGACCTTTATGTTTCAATTGTGTACTAGTTAATAGTCCCAATGAAACTTGAGTCAGGCTCACAAAATGACTTTCCACACAATAGAATAGGAGCTTTGTGTATATAAAGAAGGATATCCTCCACACACCAAGATATCGTTCCAAACCTGTTTTTTATTAGTCACAATAACACAGGCTACGCTCTGCTTATTTGGAACACAAACAAATTTTAAAGTCAAACGCGCCATACATCTTCCCGGCAGACTTGAAGGAAAACACATTATCTGTCCTTGCCTCCCTGCGGTTTCACAGGTTGGCGGAAACTCGCACACACATGGTTGGACTGGACAAGGCCTAAGCCCGATTACACACTTGACCCCTAAAACCTCGGTATGGAGAGAAAGGCCTCTGTTAAAGACTGGAAGCTGTCTAAACAGCACGGGGATGTATGCAAACAACCAGGGCGGCTGTCAGTGTGTGATTAAACTGTCACTTCTAGAGAGCCTCTGAGGTATTTGACAACTTCTCTGCAAAACACTGCATTTTTCTCTCCTTTTTCCCACGGGGACAGGAGACGTGTGACATGGGGTCAACGAGGCATACCATTATCATGCAAGAGATTTTCTAACTTGTAGGACAGTCTGCTTGCCAGTGGGTACCGATACTTGTTTCTGCCATGAAGCAGAAGAATTGATCTAAGTACCATGCAAGTGCAAACGCCATAGATCATGGCAGGTCTAGGAGGTAAAGTGACTTGTGTGAGAATGGGTAGGTTCCACTGAGCCTGCTCTCAGGGAATGCCAATTGCAAGTAAGACCCAACTCGTTAGAATTGTATGAAGCTTGAGGAAATCCTGAAAGCTTGCATCTTTAAAAATTAAGGGTGGCACTTAAACTTGAAATATTAAAAAACTTGGAATATCAAGTGCTCTTTAGATACTCAATAAGTAGCTCCCCACTGTCCTCAAGAGCAAATCATGAGCTTGCTTGGTTTGAGTCAAAATATAATGTTTATCTGATCTATATTTGATCCATATAATAAGGCATGTACTAAGGCATGTCATTGGAACACACGGGTGTCCAGCTATCGTCATATTACAACTCCTCATATACAATCACAGTGAGACAAACAGAAAAGTCAAGGTTTCTCTTTGTATCAATAAAGAAAACAAAAAAGGAAAAGCATCCAAGTGCAATGAAAGGATATATACTGTTATTACCTAATAACAACTTTTTGCAAAGGTTGTTGGAAGAGTCACTTGTAAATGGCCCACAATGCAGTCTAAAGAGCCTCCACCCCAGGGCCAGCGATGTGGCTGGATGTCAAGTGGCTGCAGTGGAATGCGCAGCTAAAGCCCCATTTCAAGAAAGTAAAAGAGCAGCGTGCCTGCTGTCTAGAGAAACTCTCTACCAAAATGACTTGTAGTTTGACAAGTGTCAAGTGAATCAGAAGATGAACTTAAAAAATACATTCAAGTACCTTAACTATTAACAACAATTAGGGCTGGTACTGATTAAAATTTTCGTGTTCGATTAATCAAATTTTTTAAAATCAATTAATCGATTCATTTCAATTAATTATAACGCACATACTACTTTTAGCTGAAAAGTAGTTGGATCTGCATGTTATTAATCTCACGTGCCCCACTCAATATGGCCGCCGCTTGAGTGGGGCACACGAGATTAATAACGTGCTGGATTACTGTGATCCTAGCTCATTTTATTACTTAATTGCTGTGCTGTATGTGTATAGGGCAATGCCTTGGCTGGCGCTCATGCAGAACAAGTTTCTTGGGCAAACCTCTTAGTTGTAACGAAACCGGAAGTCAGGCGGTCGCAGAACTCGATAACTTCGAATTTTCGATCGATCACCGGCCCAAGTAGCTCCGTCGGCTAAAGAAGGGGGGAGGAGTCTGGTGACGTCGATGTCCATGACGTCACTGGATCTCCGACGGGACTCCCGGAAGACCCGTAAGCCGGCACGGAGGTGAGTGTTTTCATTACTGATCAAAAGAATTGTAATCAATCAAAAATGTTAACAATTAATCGAGTAATTAATCGTTAATTTCCGCAGCCCTAACAACAATTTATCTTATTTGTCTATCACTCGGCTGTAGATCCTCGAATCATCTCTGAATTGGTGCTGGCGAGTTAATAGTAAAAGGTATCTGAATGGATTTTAAGGGTTTAACTTGTGAGTTTAGTGTCACTTTAAGAAAGGTAAGGACCATGAAATGCATCAACTGGTAATCATTGCAACCTTAAAGCAGATGCTATTGCTTGGCAGAGAGTTTCTCCAGGTTGGTAGAAGGCTAAATCCCCTCAGATTTTTATGGTTGCATCTCTGTTGGTGATTATCCCCTCACTTCCTATCAGGACACTTCCTATCAGGACATGAACTAAGGTGAGATTTCTCCTTCCCCGCTTCATCCAAAACTAAGAAAAAAGAATAGTTTTGCAGTAGAAGTACTTACAGAATCCAAAAAACACAAGAAACGCCCAGAGCTTTGTCGAATGGCTTGGTTCTTTGCGTAACCAACTAAAAAGGGAAAGAAAAAAAAAATGAAAATCAAATTCTGGTAATTCTTTTTAAGAGTAATAGTAATAATGGCCAATTAGCTAGAAGAAACAATTGTGGCAAAAAGGAACTGCAACAAATTTTAGCTGTTCTTTTTCATAACGAAAGCACAATGCAAGATACATGAACATGTTTGTAGGGCGCATAATCACATACATTTACATAATCTCACTTAGCAGATTCCTATCAGTATTTGTAAGATTTCTAGGTTACCAGTACAATTATCCTCTTCAATGTTACCTTGTTATGCATTGACAATAACCACTCCGCCATTATTTACAGCACACAAACAGATCCTGGATATAGAAGCTAATTACCTAAGATTAGGTAATGATTATTGCCTACACAGGCTACCCCCCTTTAAGTCTATCATGAATGCTGCCCCTTCTCTGCCCCTCCCTCCGCTGGCTTCTGTTCACCGAACCAATAAACTAAAAAATACTTACATCATACAAAGCCCTCCACAACTCTGCCCCCAATGGCATCTCAAAATATCATCCTAACTGCCCTCTTCGCTTGCCAAGACCTGCTCTCTAGCTCGCTCATCATCTCTTCCCATGCTCACCTGCAGGACTTCTCCAGACGCTCCCATCCTCTGGAACTACCTACCTCAATGTCTCCGGCTATCTCCTACTCTGTCTGCCTTTACGTGATCAGTGCACTTACCTCTTCATAGAAGCCTATCCCTCTAACTAAAAACTGAAAGTGACATTAAAGTCACAAATATTTTTCTCCACCCCTCCATGTTGCTTTAAGGACTTACCTTAAATGATGCCTCTTGACCCGATCATCTTCTTCTTTCCAGTTGTATTCAGGAATCCCTCCAGCGCTGGTGCTGGTCTCTGACCCACCCTAATCTCCTGTCTCTTCCTGTCCCACGGTGTCTGCCCGGCGTGTACGCTCGCGGCTGTGTGCATTGACTTACAGCGCGTTTCTCAACATCTCCCCACTGAAGATCTGTAATGCGCATGCGCACGCCCCATCATGCTCCTCGGCCGCTCAAGAATCTACAGATCTTTGGATGGGAGCGAGCGGCGGAGACACAGGTAACCTTTTTGGTCGTTTTTTTTTTATTTTTAGGCCTTTGCATATATCTACTGCTTAAATAAAAAGAGTTTAATTATACTTGAACTTTTATTTATTTCCCCAGTTAACTCATCCCTCACAATTATTACCTTTTGAATCACTTGCCCCTCCCTTATAGATTGTAAGCTCTCAGGAACAGGGCCCTCTTTACTCTCTTTCGTGAACAGTTTTGTAACTGCACATTCTCCATATATTTTCTAAAGCGCCACACACACACTAGTGGCGTTATATAATTCCTGTATTATAATAATATGATTAATGTTGCACTTAGACTAGTTGAACATGTGGCAAAAGCTTGATTCATTACTGAAAAGCGTACAAGCACAAGAAGGTCTGAAGTAATTACCACAGGCAGCAAAAGGGCAGCCTACGTGGAACAAACTACTTATCTGTTAGCTCAAAATCCTCTATTACTTGTCAATATTTACCATAGATAGCCGATTTCTGGAAAGGCATTCAGCTTTTTGTGCAATAATTCTGCAATAAGAGCATTTAAGCAGTCTGTAGAGATTAAAGGCTTGTTAGACACGCATGCACAAATTGAATATCTTCAGGATGCACCGTCCAAAGCCCTGGTGCCCAAGAGCTGCATGCTGTCCTTTTGTACTTACTGTGTGGTTTCCTTGCCTAGGTGCTTACTCAGGGACAGGGTAGGAAAATATGCATAAAAATAACAATTTTGTTTCCTCTGCTGTCTATTCTTTCTTCCTGTATTTATTCTTTTATTTTTGTGTATTTATTTTATATTTGTGTATTTATTACATCTTTTAGCATGTCCACTGTCTCTGACCATCTCCTGCAGCATGCCCACTGTCTCTGACCATCTCCTGCAGCATGCCCACTGTCTCTGACCACTTCCTGCAGCATGCCCACTGTCTCGGACCACCTCCTGCAGCATGCCCACTGTCTGACCACCTCCTGTAGAATGGCCACTGTATCTAACCATCTCCTCTAGTATACCCACTGTCTCTGACCATCTCTTGTAGCATGCCTACTCTCTCTGACCATCTCCTGCAGCATGCCTACTGTCTAACCATATCCGGCAGCATGCCTACTGTCTCTGACCATCTCTTATAGCATGCCCACTGTATCTGATCATCTCCTGCAGCATGCCCACTGTCTCTGACCATCTCCTGCAGTATGCTTGCTGTCTTTGACCACTGTCTTTCTGTAGCATTACACTAAACATTACCTGTGGCTCATTGGCAGTGCCGGTGCTAGGATTCTTGACTACACAGGCAAGGTGCATTTTTGCGTGCCCCCAGCCTTGCGGTAGCGACGGGCCTGCTCATTGGTGATGTCAGGGGCTGCTCTTGATGCCCTCTATGTCATGTAAGTTAGCCACCACTGGCCTAAATGTGTATCGCTTCATGAATAAAGCAGATATGTTTACTTCTATGGACTTGAAAGAGGATGGATAGGACAGGGAGGGTGTGAGAACCCGTTTATCAGCAGTGAGGGAAGCAGCAAGATACAAAAAGGAAAAAAGGGGTGTTTTTTTTTAACTGTTAAAGCCCAATTTATCATTTAGCTAAAATTGCCTGAATACATTCCAGGAGCATCAAAACAAAAGGTGTGCAAAATCTTGCAGTGTAATTTCTTTACAAATCTGCCACAGCCTGAGTAGAAATCCCTGTCCCCTGCATGCTGCGGAGAAGGACCCTTGCTCTCTGTGTATAAGCAGTGATCTCTTTACAGAGGTCCAAAATACTCCCTGTTGAGTCAGAGTTGGAGCTCTCCAATGGCTTTGCTGATTGCACTTACTGAGCACATAAAACACTTTCAGTTGTATATTTAGTAGACCAAAAGGGAGCAAAAAATAGATATTTATAGTTATGGTTTACACACACTTTAAAACTGAACTCCAGGCAGATATAAAATACACAAATTATGGCAGCTGTAAATAATGAATACTTTAATGTAGTTCTTTAAAAGCAGACAGTTAAAGATCTTAGTGTGACCTGCTATCATTCTCTTGCAGATCTCTGTACAGCAAAGCTCACGCTGGAAGAGGGAGAAGCAGCACAAGAAGCCAATCAAGTGTGCTGCAGCAGAAAGAGCATGCTGATAGGAAGGGATGCGACAGAAGGAGAGGGCAGAGTAACAGAGAAATTAGCTCATCAGTGTGCTGCTTCTCTTTTCACTGTCCAGGCACAGGGTAGGGTGGGGAGGAGACCTGTTATCAAAAGCTAAACTGCAGCAGAATACAATCAGGTCTCCTGCACTGCCAGACGAGGCTGTGCCATTTGACAGATCTGTGTAAATTCCAGGACTGGGTGGACAGAGATACAAATCCTTTTGGCAGGTAAAACGTCTTTCATATACAGTGAGGGGACTTTATCAAAACCGGAGCAGACAAAATCTAGAGCAGCTGTGCGTGGCAACCAATCAGCTTCTCTCTTCAGTTCGTCCAGTTAAGATTTGAAAATGAAAGAGAGAAGCTGATTGGTTGCCATGCATGGCTGCTCCAGATTTTGTCTCCTCCAATTTTGATAAATTATTATTATACAGGATTTATATAGCGCCAACAGTTTGCGCAGCGCTTTACAATATAAGGAAAACATTATAATCACAATACAATTCAAGACAAGATGGTAAGGAGGACCCTGCCCGTGAGGGCTTACAATTCAAAATTCCACTCTTTATGTATATCAAAACTGGAGCATTGATGCCCATTGTAACCAATTAGCTTCAAGGGAGATTTCCCTCTTCTTCCTGCCCTGGGAATGAACAAGTAAGAGGGAATCTCTACAAAAGGGAGGGGAAATCCTCCCAGGAACAAGTTGTGTCTATTTGCACAGTTTTCCAAAATGAAGCATGATGGGACTTCCAGGTAGGGACCAGACCACCTTTTGCAAATTTAGACAAAAAGGTCAACACATGGCTGTGACAAACTGCATGAAATAAATTGAAAGACTGCGTCGAAACTGCAAGAAACTTGTAATCCGTTTTCTTGGAGGTCACTGGAAGGTGATGGAAAGCAAAAGTTCTCCTCTATACGACTACCAGGGCCCAAAGAGGTCAACTGCAGCCGAATCCACGAGTGTTCCAGAAAAGAGCCAATTTAGCTTCTAATACTATTCTCTAGATCTCTGAGCTTGGCAGTACATCTACACCTCTGAGAAAGGCCAGTGATGATGACATCAACACATCTGGATTCCATTACTGCGCAGGGGTCGGGTCCCCAAGATTTCAATAAATAAAAGGTTATTTTTAGAGCGTGGCCAGCATTTCCACCTGGAGGCAAGCAAATTCCCTCAGATTCGATGGGAAACAGGATGCCGTGGATCACCAGGAGATAACACAGTTTAATATTGTACATTATCTGCCAGGGGAAAGTAAAAACCTTCTTCTAACAGATCGGTTTTCTCATGATCCAGTTCCACGCTGCCTCCGTCCAACCCCGCTTCCTCCCGTCACAAAATAAAACAAATACGGTTTCCGAAAGATATCCAGCTACTTATATGAAGGAAATAAAAGAGGGAAGATAAAAGGAAGAGTTTAATAAATCTGCGCATTCTTGGACAAACGTACATTTACAAATCACTAATTGGAATGCTTTATAGAGAAAGGAACATAATCAGGATTGCGGTGACTTAAAACACATGGAAGTGCGATGGGGGCGATACACAAAAGAAACGCGCGAGAAAAAGTTCATAGCCCCAAAAATCTTAATATAGAAGCAAAAAAAGAATTATAGGCCAAATAATTCGAAGTGTCAGTAATCAGGATGACTCTGGCAGAAAATTCAACAAAGTCAATGGCAATTTAGTGAAAATCCATTTTGCCCCTGAAAACCTTTGAACTTGACTGATAACTTCAGCTTTTAATACTGACACACTGATCTACACTATAATCATTGGATTCAGTTGTTT